TCAGATGATTTTTATTATGTCCCGATACGTAAAACCATAGAACTCAAAGAGGGTGTACTTTCTTTTTCACACGACTGTACCTAGGTCTTTTAGCAGTGCCTCTCAGGACTTGCCATCACAGTGGACTCTTGAACATAATATCCTCAAGAGGGTCTCTGACCTTGAAGGAGTGTTAGAGGAGAGTGGTAGCAACTATTTATCTTTGTGAATAAGCTAAAAAGAATCCCTGGTCACCAGCAAGTTTTAATGTAACAGATGTTCAAATTTTCTTAGGTAAGCTTCACTGAAATTAAGTATTTGAAAAAGGTACAGAATAGATAAGGTGTGGAAAATAGCATGATGATAATAGCAGCTTCCCTGACATTTTAATAATTATTTGCAAGTGACTATGCCCTCTTCTGTAGCCTTAATATTATAGTATTATATAAATAAAAACAGATGTTTAATAGCAAAGGCATTAAAAAAAAAACCACTGACTCATATGCCTGTTTTCAGTGCTAGCTCAGTTAAGAACAAAGAGCCAGTTAAATTAAAGTTTCATCTACATTTAGAACTTTGAAATGTTTAGAAAACAGTTGACTTGAGAACATTTTTAAAACAAGTAATAAATATGGCTCTTTAAAAAGCCTGATTATGTTGGTTATCCAGTAATTGGACCTTTAATTAGCTAGTACATTGTATCCAAAAGCCATATTGAGACAATTAGAGGCCAATTGAAAATTTACAAAACAATTGCAAGCTTTTGTGTTTCTAATAACCAAGCAAGACAGTTAAAATCCAGGGAAAAAAAGGAACGTGGGAAGTTGAAAACGTAAGTAAAGGATAGTGAAACCTGGCCTGGCAATAATAGGTGTGAAAGGGATCTGGGTGTCCTTGTCAACCACGTTAAGCATGAGCCAACAGAGCTGCTAAAAAATTCAACACTACCTAGGATGCATTAACATGAGCACCAATCCAGATTATAGGAAGTAATTGTTCCACTTTCCTCTACCATATTATGGGTACCACAGTTCAGAAAATGCCAAATTGTAGCAAATTAGACGAGTGCTACTGCAACAGTGAAGTATCTAGAAACCAAGCCTTGTGAGGAGTGGTTAAAGGCTGCCAGGTGAAGGAGTGAGTTCTCCTTCTCTGGAGGTCTTCAAACAGAGACTGGATGGTCATTTACCAGAGCCACTTAGGTGAGACAGCAGGGACTGTATAGTGAAATGGGGAAGCTTTTCCTTTGTCCTACATTAATATCATGCCTATGTTAAGTCCTCTTGGATAAATCATTACTTGAAACTTCCCAGTTTATGTACAATACATGGATTATCACCTATGATTTATACATGAGGTTTATGTTAATTTCTATAGAGACAGACTTTCATTATAGCTGTTTTGCAATATGTAACATGTTCACTGCATGATTTAACAAGTTTGCTATGATTGTGGCCACATATAGTTTACTCTTTCTTTAGGATCTGTGTAACAGAAAAGAGCTGAGTTGTCAATCTCTCCATCTCAATATCTGGTGTCTGCCTGGAAGTATAAGATTTTTAAAAATTCATTTAACACATTTTAGAGCTATGCTCTTGTGAAGTCCCATTTATTTCACTTATGGTGGCAAAAAGAAGTTGTGTATAGATCAGGTAGATTAATGGTTCATTTACGCATGATGTTCAACCACTAGGTCATTATAAAGGTTACACCTTTGGCCAACTATATACCTCAAGAATGCAATCAACTCTTTTGCCCAACCACAGATGCTAACCATCATATTTCTCCTGAGTGCAACATTTTCTGTTACATAGTTGCTAGAGAATACCAGAAATCAGCACAATAGTCTGTAGAAAATTAGTAGGCATACAGACATAGATGAATTTAGAATGGATATCATTCTAATGTAAATATGGAAAGATACAATTATAGTATTTCTTAATTGACAAATGTTTACATCATGAAGCTTGGCCTATAATTTCTATTACAAGCGTTTTCATCACTATAAACATACAGTATGAGTACCCACATATTAAAACATGCTGTTGGTACATAATTCAGCTGAACTCTATGTCAGATTGCCAAACAATTTTGAAGAATGCAGGAATAATATAAGACACCTCTAACAGCACAATCATATACAGGCCAATAAATAAATAAAACCCATTGAAAGGGTAGAGGATTGCAGCTTCCAGTTAAATTAGACTTAATAGTACAGGTGTTTATAACTCTCAAATGCCAGGGATATCAATCTCAAATGAAATTAGAGGTACATAGAGTACCAATAGCAAACTAGGTTGGAAGATCCATTTGTCCATCCCAGTTCAGTGCCTATTACAGTATCAATTCAACATTATACATTATTACCAATTCTACCTTAATCACTATGAAAGGCCAATTTTAGTTAAAACAAAACATTTTTACTAGTGTTATGGGAATGGCTTAAGAATAGAAAAGGCTGAGGACTATCATCTTATATTGTATGAATCACAGTAATTCCTTCCATCTGTACATGGCCACAAAGAGAAAATAAACAGGCCCTGTGTAATAAAAATCATGTGTTTGTGCCATCAATAGCATGTTAGAATACAAATGTGGATTTTTTTCCTGGGCTGCAGCGTAAACAATTCATTAGGTGTTCAAAAATTACCATTATTTCCATGGCAATCCCTTCATTACTGATCATGTGTAGTAGTATACATAATAAGAATGTAGTCTGAAATACTGTGAATGATATGAACCCAGAAAAGTACAGTCCAAAATAGAAACAGGAAGGCATATTAATAACAAAATTAAGAAATGATTCCAACACTGTTACATGTATGGGCTCTTTTATTTACCTAAAAGGAAAGCGTCAAACATTTAGTACTGTCATTTCCATAACTTTCAGAAACACAAATATT